TTTGTCTCTGTCAGGAGGAAAAGAAACACACAGACACAATTCATCGTCGATTCCCCCGAAAATATAGGAAACCATGGGAAGTTGGGGGAAAGACGAAAACCCAGAAAATATGGGAAAAGATGGGGAATCCTGTTATTTGTGTGTATTTATTTGTGTGTCCCAGGGCCCCTTCACACTTGGCGCTCTTCATGATAGCACGATGGCTGCCAGCCAGAGCAGGCGCATCGTCCACCGGTGCCTGAACTGCATGCACTGGGAGGAGGCGTGGTGCAGCGAGGCCCCGCCCCCCTGGCCGCCGCACCGGCCGCCCCAAGCGTGTGTGTCGCCGCCCGCTCTGCTGCCGCTGCCGCCGCTGCCCTCTTCACAAGGGCGCCCTGGAGGGCGCGAAGTCGTTCGCGCTTCGCGCTTCGTCTCCGACTCCTCATCCTCCTCATCCTCCTCTTCTTCCCTGGGAGGCGGCGCGAGAGCGCGAAGTCATTCGCACCTCGCGCTTCGCGCAGCGCGCAGCGCGAAGTTGGGAGCCCCTGGTGAGGGCAGCTGGCTCCGGAGCGGTCCAGAGCGCCGCCGGAGCGCTCTGGGGCGCCCTTGGACGGCCGCGGCGCCCGATCGTGCATCCTCCGGGCCCACCGACTCGCAGAGGTGCCCTGTCCCCTTATAGGGGGATTTTCGACGAAAAATAAAAAGTACCCCCAAGATAGTCCCAAAAATTGTCGAAAAATAGTCTGGGGACTATTTTTTTTGTATTTTTGTACCTTTTTGGGGCTTGTTTAGGGTATTTTTTATTTTTCGTCGAACATCCCTTTGAGGTGCTCGATTTTTGTTAGCCTCATCCAGAGGCATCCTGTTCTTCGTCTTAAGTCGGGCCTGTCCCCCTACAGGAGGGTTTTCGACGAAAAATTAGAAATACCCCCAAGAATAGTTCCAAAAATAGTCCAACAATAGTCTGGGGACTTTTTTGTTTGTTTGTATTTTTTTAACTTTTTGGGGTTTGTCTGGGGTATTTTTCATTTTTCGTCGAACATCCCCCTGTAGGCGGACACGCCCGACATAACCCCATCCAGAGGCATCCTGTTCTTCGTCGTGCCCCTCTCCTGCCCCACCGCGCTTCTCCTTCGGCGACCCGCCCCGGGCCGCCAGCATGCGAGGACGTAGCCGCGCTCCCCTCCTCAGGCGATGCGTCGCCCGGTGGCTCCCTCGAGGCTGTTCGCCTTGCTTTGCCGTCGCTGCTTCCGCCGCACCTTTGCGGACATAGCCGCCCTGCCTTTCCGAGCGGGAAACGTCCGCCCTGCTGTTTCGCATCGTTTGGGGTGCGCGTCCGACACAGTTTTGCGTCGGAGGATCAACCAAGGTACGGCGGATCCGGAGGCTCGCCGGCACCAAGAGTGCCGTCGGATCTTGGGTATATTGCAGCTTGCTTCCTTTACCTAGCGCCGAGTGGTATTGCCGCCGATGGTCAGCTGGCTGCGTGGGGCAGCGGCTCGCTGATTTTTGGGTGGTAAGCCCTCCTTTGTCTGTCGCGGTGTCATGGCTCCAGCCGTGGCGTGAGCCTGCTGCAAAGAGAACCCTAGAGGCCCCCAGGCGGCAAGTTCGAGCGACAATATTCGGTACCGCATAGCATGTGGAGAAGAAGAAAAGTACGGCGGATCCGGAGTAGGGGGGCGATGATTGGGGGGCATCGAGGCGGGCCATGATCTCTCTGGATCTCATGACCACCTCTTTTGGTTCCAATACAGTCAACGCGCCTAGTAAGGACGCGTGCCTTCATCTAGGGTACCCTTGAGTCCTTGCCTCTGCGGCCCGTCCTTCGCCGTTTTCACTGGCCGCCCCCGCCCGAAAAATCCAACTTCGGCCTCCAAGGGTCTTGCGTCCTTACCACCCGTCCTTAATAAACGTTTTGACTGTACGTCCCCTGGCCCACCCCCTCGTCCGAGCACGTGCCTCGGGCCACGGTTTGCGAACCCCGTTCTCTCGGACGCCCCCCCCCCCCGTGTGGACGCCGTCGGCAGCGGGGGGGGGGGGAGGGGCGCGCCGGGGGTGCGCTGACCGAGGGCCCACGCGCCCCGCACGCCTCGCAGAGCGCGGGGCTCAGGGGCAGCGTTTTGGGCGGGGGCAGACTCCAGGGGATGTCTCCGCCCCCCAGAGGGCCCGAGCCGAAGGCGAGAGCACGTGGCGGGCCCGCGGTGCTCCCCCGCCTTCCAGCGGGCCCTCTCGCCGTGGTGGGCAGGGAGGGGCCTGTGCAGGCAGCCGTCGGCGGCGGGCGCGAGGGCGGGAAGCGAGAAGGGGCGGACCTCCAGGAGGAGGAGGAGGAGGAGGAGGAGGAGGAGGAGAGGAGAGGAGGAGAGAGGAGGAGGAGGAGGGGAGGAGGAGGAGGAGGAGGAGGAGGAGGAGGAGGAGGAGGAGGAGGAGGAGGAGTGAGAGGAGGAGAGGACCTCTCCTCCTCCTCCTCCTCCTCCTCCTCCTCCTCCTCGCCCAGTTGTCGCCGAGAGGGGCCCGACGCCCCGCCCCGCCCAGGGGCGGGCGGTTGGTACTACGTCGACTAGTACTACTGCTACTACTACTACTACGACTACTACTGCTATTACTACTACCACTACGATTACGACTGCTACTACTACTTAAACTTCTACTCCTACTTAAACGACAGTTCCTTAGTGGCCCATCTCCGAGCATTTTCTGCGGGGTGGAGGGCCGAGGGTGAAATCTGAAATGCAGCTTCGATGGATTCTCGCGGCTCGAATCTGCAAAAGGTGAATCACGAGACGGATGGATTGTCGAGGTGCAGGAGCGCATCTGGATTTCACCCTGAGCCCTCCGCCCTAAGAAAATGCTCAGCATCTATCGGCGACGCATCGCCGATTCTAGATTGATGTTTCCCCCCCTGGAGCCGGTCTCCCTGTCGTTCCCCCTGAAAATAGGGGAACAAATTACCCCAGTGCGACCCTACCTAGAAGTTGGAGCCCCTAGGAAAGCAGCATTAGGTGCTATGCTATGTCATGCCATGCCATGCCATGCTATGCTGCGCTATGCTATGCTAAGCTATGCTATGCCATGCTGTGCTATGCTAAGCTATGCTATGCTAAGCCGCGCTATGCTGTGCTATGCTATGCTATGCTGCGCTATGTTATGCTAAGCTGCGCTATGCTATGCTATGCTATGCTATGTTAGGCTTGGCTATGTTATGTTATGCTATGCTATGCTATGCTATGCTGCGCTATGCTATGCTATGATGGGCTATGCTATGATATGCTGTGCTGCGCCATGCTATGCTACGCGATGCTATGCTGTGCTGTGCTCTGCTATGATAAAGCTCAGCGAAGCTAATATTAAGGTAAGCTAAGCTAAGATAAACCTGAGCTAAGATGAAGCTAACTAAGATGAAATAAGCTAAGTTAAGATGAGATAAGCAACGCTAAGCTAAGGGGACGTAACTGGGGGAACCGCGGGGCGGATACTGGGGGAACCGCCTGGGGCGCTTTCCACTGCCCGGCCCCTTTAAGCACAGAGAGTAAGAACCCTTCTAGGCAGAGCCTAGGTAGGGAAAGGTGGCACAAACATAAAAGCTCGGAGGTCCGCGCGGATTTCTCGGATCGGCGCTGGACCCCCCTCCCTGGCGCGCGGAGCGCGCCAGGGGCGGCGCCGGAGGCGCCGCCGGGGAGCCCCAGCGCCGATCTAGAAATTCGCGCGGACCTCCGAGTTTTTATGTTTGTGCCACTTTTTTTTCCCTAGGCACCGGAGGCGCCGCCGGGGAGCCCCAGCGCCGATCCTAGAAATTCGCGCGGACCTCCGAGTTTTTATGTTTGTGCCACTTTTTTTTCCCTAGACAAGGAGCTCGCAGGCAGGTGGCCCATGCCTCACTTGGCGATGGCAATCTCGGCCCCCCTATCGTCGTCAAGGGCTTGACGGCTTCTGCTGTCCTTCGACTCGCGCCGGAGCGCCCACGATTTTTGCTCCAGACGTGCCTCGCTTTGCCTGGATTTGAAGGGGGAGGAGGAGGGGGCTTGGCAGGAGGAGCGTGTCGAGAAACGACAGAAGCTGCGTAGGCAGACACTGTCGGAGGCCCGTGCAGCTGGCGGGGCGCCCTCCTGGGCTCCACCCTGCAGCCTGGCTTCTCGAGCTGCGCCAGGGCGTGGCGGCGAGAAGACCCCCAGAAGCGCCCCACAGAGACCTCCAGAGCGACGACCGCCGACGCCCACGGGCTCCGCCGCCCATGGAGGGTGCGCGCGGTCGTGTGGAGCCTCCAAGGCGACTCCGAGGGCCGACGAGGGGCCGCCGAGGAGGGCCGCTGCCGAACGTCGCCGCACGGCCGCTGCCGAAGGCCGCCGAGGGGCCGCTCCGGACGCCGCCGCGTGCGGAGCCTCCGAGGCGCCGCCGGCGGCCGCCGAGGGGCCGCCGGAGGGCCGCTGTCGAACGTCGCCGAAGGGCCGCGCCGCCGAGGGGCCAACGACGACCGCGGCCGAGCGCCGCCGAGGGGCCACCGAGGGCCGCTGCCGAGCGCCGCCGAAGGGCCGCTGAGGGGCCAGGCCGAAGGGCCGCCGGGCGGCTCGCCGAGCGCGCGGGCCGCGGGTCCGCCGAGGTGCGCCGCGGGAAGCGGGCCGCCCTGTCGTGGCGCACGCAGCGCTTCGGCGGCAGCCCGGCGGAGGCCCGGGCCCAGCAGGCGGGCGGCGCGGAGGCCTCCCGCCGCCGCCGCGCCGCGCGGCCGCCCTGCGCGCGCGCGCCGTCGTCGCTCGTCGCTCGCCCGTCGTCCGTCGTCGCCGCCCCTGCAGTCGCCGTGGTCGTGGTCGTGGTCGTCCCCGCCTCTGTCGGTGCCGCGTCGTCGTCGTCGTCGTCGTCGTCGTCGTCGTCGTCGTCGTCGCCGCCGCCGCCGCCGCCGCCGCCGCCGCCTCCGCCGCCTTCGCCGCCTTCAGTTGCGCCCTGCACCCCGAAGCGCACCAGGGCTCTCCCCGCCCACGCGCCCGAGCCTCTCCCAGCGACGTCGTGGCCTGGCCCTCCCCCTGGGCCCGAAGCGGGGCGGGGGCGCGCTCGCCCTCCCCCCCCCGGGGGCGCCCCCCCCCCGCGCGCAGCCCTCGCGCCCTCGCGCCGCGCACTGGGCCTCGATGCGCGAGGCCTGCGCGGCGGACGCCTTAACAAAGGCGGGGCGGGGTGCCGTCGCCGCCGCCGCTGTCGCTTCCGCCGCGGCTGCCGCTGTCGTCGTCGCCGCCGTCGCCGCCGCCATCGCAGCCGCCCGCCGCCGTCGGTCGCCGCCGTCGCCGCCGCTCCCGTTGCCGTCGTCGCCGCCGTCCCCGCCGCTGGCCGCCGTCGGCTGCCGTCGCTGGCCGCCGTCGGCTGCCACGGCCGCCGCCGCCATCGCCGTCGTCGTCGTCGTCGTCGTCGTCGTCGTCGTCGTCGTCGTCGTCGTTGGGCCTCGGTGCACGCGAGGCCCGCGCGGCGGGAGGCCTCAGCGAGGTCGAGTAGGAGGAGGGAGCTGGGAAGAGGGAGGTAAAGAGGAGGGTGAGGAGAAGTGCGAGGAGTGCGAGGAGGAGGAGGAGGAGGAGAAGGAGGAGGAGGAGGAGGAGGAGGAGGAGGAGGAGGGGGAGACGGGGGCGTGGGCGGGGGCGGGGGCGGGGGCGGGAGCGGCGGGGAGGAGGAAGGGAAGAGAAGGCCACAGTCATGCACGAAGGCGAGGTACCCGAGGATCTTGTAGAGCAACGACACCAGGGCTTCCCGGCGCTCCGAGCTCATAACAATATTCGTCATCAGTGCCCCACGTAATCCACGGCAAAAGCAGAGTGCGACGCCTTGAACTGGAAACATGCAGAGTTCCAATCGCAAGCGCCAGAGCGATAGAGCCACACTACAAACCAGGAAGTACCAGCATTAACACAGCAAAGAGGGCCATAGCCCCAGAGCACAAGTAGTCCCGTGTCAATTGCTATTACTGTCCGAATCCGCGGAAGAGGCACGGTGAGCAGCAGGCCCAGCCGCAGCGGGTACGCACTTGAAGACAAGGACGACGGACGTCACATTGCATGCAAGCTGGGAGGCCGCTGCAAGCCCTGAGCATAGTCCGCACGGGACCGCACCGAACCCACGGGCAGCTCCATACCCAGTCCACCTGCACAAGCACTCACGTTCCCTCAGAGCCGTTAGCCGCAGGGGGGAGGGCCCCCCCACGGCTGGATACTGGCCAGTCGCATCCTCGAGGTCCGCTCGGGCATCCGACACGGCCGCCACCTCGGTGGCCTTGGCGAGCTGCAGCGCCTCAGAAACTCCCGGAAACACTCGCTCACAGCTCGCGAAAACCGCCGCCAGGCCCGCGCGACGCGCTCCAGTAACGCCCAGGAGGGCCTGGCGGCGCCAGGAGGAGGAGGAGGAGGCAGGAGGAGGAGGAGGAGGAGGAGGAGGAGGAGGAGGAGGAGGAGGAGGAGGAGGAGGAGGAGGAGGAGGAGCAGCCTTCGGGGACGCCTTCGCAGCCCGGCGGTCCGCGGCAGGCATGGCCTCCCATCGGCCAGCGCCAGGCACGAAGACGGCATTCATCGAGCGCGAGGAAGATGGCCTGGCAGCGCGCTCCGAGGAAAAAAAAAAAAAAAAAAAAAAAAACGGCTACGCGCGAGGAGGCAGGGAGGAGGGAGGAAGGAGGAGGAAGTAGCGAGGAGGGAGGACGGAGGAGGAAGGAGGAGGAAGAGGAGTAGGAGGAGGAGGAGGAGGAAAAGGAGGAGGAGGAGGAGGAGGAGGAGGAGGAGGAGGAGGAGGAGCAGGAGGAGGAGCAGGAGAGGGAGGGCGGAGGAGGGAGGGAGGGCGGAGGGGGGGGGGAGGCCCCTCGGGCAGGTGCGCGAAGCCGTCGCGGAGCTGCAGGACCTCCGCGCCCTCCCCGGATGATCAGAGCCTTCTCAAAGTGGAGGCTCGGCCTCCACTCTGAGGGGTTTTGTCCCTCATTGTGGGAGGTTTCTTAGCGTGTGCGCTCGCCCCCCGCCCTTGAAGAGGACGAGGGCCCGCTCTCGTGCCAAAGGTGGGGGACAGGTCAGACGAGTCTGACTAGGTCTCATTCAGGGCGGCTGCATGTCCCTCCACTGCCTTCGCCATTGTTGCTTGATGCGCTGAGGAGGCGCGAGTCGTGCAGCTCAAGCACCCATTCTGGAGGTTTCTTCCTGGCGGACGGGCGCTGGCACATTTCTCTGAAGGGCTTCGCCGCCCTCTGCCGCTGCCCCCCCACTGATTGATTGCGTGGCTACGCGTGTTCAGTTGGTCAGTTTGTTTGATGGCGTGTCGGTCGGCTGGCTGGCAACTCAGCTGGTGAGCCTGTTGTCTAAATGCACTGTTTGCGGCTGGTATCGGCCGGCGGGCTGCGCGCATGTGCAGGAGTCAATTGGGGACGGTGGCCTCGGGAGAGCGCACCCATCGCTGGGTTGCAGGATTCGCGGCTGTGGGTCCAGCGCAGAGTTTTCAGAAAGAGAGAGCATGCGCCCGAACACACTGCAATTCAGCAAATCATATCGATCCGATATTGTACAACAACTGTTTTCAGGCATGGGCTCCTCGTGCGTGTTTTAATCTGTTCCACCATTGGAACCAGCACATCTGCAACTATAGCATGGGCCACCTTCCAACTAGAACTGTTGCAGGTGGCAGGAACATCTGGTCCCTCGCAGCGTGTTGGCCCCCAAGGGGGACGGCGGATTATCAGTAGTACTGGAATGTGCTCGCTTGCGTGGAGCTGTTCGGCATCCGGGTGCGTCCGCTCCGATTCGATTTCGAATCCGTGGCGATGCATCCCGATCCGCCGCACAGTCCGAGTCGATCCGATTTTCCGATACGATACTGACGGGGCTCCTGCCTCCAGGGTTTTGACCATCTGTTCGCTCTCCTGCGTCTCCCCCCTCCGATGTCGCAATTTGTTCGTGACGCGGGCCCTTTTCCTCAGGGCCGGCCTCCTTGCTCCGGGATCTCGACCCCTTCCTCAGGGCCAGCTTTGAAGCCTGAGTCGTTCCTGACGGTCCCGGGTCTCCGTCCGCCACCCCGCAGCTGGCGCGCAGGCCGAGCTGCGCGCGGCGGCGCGCCGGAACGGCGAGGCCAGCAGGCGCGGCGAGCGGGAGAATTGCACGCTCGCTACCCGGGAGCCCGGCTGGCGACCTTCGTCCTCGGGGCGCGGAGAGGCGGCTCGGCGCCGAGGCCCGCCGCTGGCTGCTCGGGCAGGAGGGCCAGCAGCCACGGGAGCTGGCGCGGGCCTAAGGTCTTGAGCTGCGGTCTGCAAGCGGCCACGGCGCGCCATCTCCGCAAGGCAGCTGGCCTGCGCTGGGCGGCGCGCCAGCCGGCGGGGGCTCCGCGGGCGAGGCGGCGGCGCAGCGCCCTGGGCGGCGACGCTGGCGCGGCGGCCGACGACGCTGGCCGGGCAGCGGGCGGGGGGGCTGCCCGCTCGGCACCAGCTGGGCACCTCCGCCAGGAGCCCTGGGCTGGCGCGGACCTGCGCCTGGAGCTGCGGCGGCGGGCGGGCGCTGGCGGCTGGTTCGAGAGGCGCCGCTACACCCACGCGGTCGTGGCGGCGCTCCCGGGTAGCGGAGTCCAGGGGCCCCGGCTGGCGCAACCCCTCTCCCCCCGGGGATGGCCGATGCTTGGTGGCTCGGGCGCCGCGCAACGGTCGTCCTCGGGGGGCTGACGCAGGGCGTTGTTGGTTTGCGCTGGCCCCCAGCCAGGCTTCGCGCTCGGACTCCTCCTCCTCCTCCTCCTCCTCCTCCTCCTCCTCCTCCTCTCCTCCTCCTCCTCCTCCTCCTCCTCCTCCTCCTCCTCTTCCTCCCCCTCCCTCATCCCTTCCCCTCCTCTTCATCCCGATCATCCTCGTCCTCATCCCATCACGCGACATGTGTAGTTGCCAACTCCCAGAGTTGCATCGTCGGCATCTGCCCGTTGATGATGATTAAAGTCCTTCCAACGCGCGCCAGGTGGGGGGAGGGAGGTGAGGAGAATAAGGGCAGGGAGGGGGAGGAGGAGGAGGAGGAGGAGGAGGAGGAGGAGGAGGAGGAGGAGGAGGGGGAGGACGAGGAAGAGGAGAAGGGGGGATGCGAGTGAGGGGGAGCAGGGCGAGGACGATGATCATGATGACGATGAGGGGGAGGAGGAGGAGGAGGACGAGGAGGGGGAGGAGGAGGAGGAGGAGGAGGAGGAGGAGGAGGAGCAGGAGGAGGAGGAGGAGGAGGACGAGGACGAGGACGAGGAGGACGAGGAGGAGGAGGAGGGGGAGAAGGTAGTGCAGCAGCACCAGGAGCGTGAGGGCGAGGAGGAGGAGGAAGAGGGTGAGGATGAGGATGAGGATAGGAATGTTGATGAAACTGATATTGATGATGACGACGATGATGACGATGTTGGTGTTGCTACTGCTGTTGCTGCTGATGATGATGATGATGGCGATGGTTGTGGTGATGATGATGCTGGTGGTGATGGTGATGCTGGCGACGATGATGCTGATGATGGTGGTGGTGATGTTGATGATGATTTTTTCAGGAGTACGAAACGTATGGTGATGATGGTGATGCTGTTGTTGACGATGCTGATGTTGCTGGTGACGGCGTTGATGCTAATAGTGATGTTGATAACGGTGATGATGAAGGTGATGGTGAGGATAATGAGGATGATGATGTGTTGCTGGTGATGATGTTGCTGGCGATGCTGATGTTGATGGTGGTGGTGGTTGGTGGTGATGCTGGTGATGCTGATCATGACGATGCTGCTGATGATGATGATGATGTTGGTGTTGATGGTGGTGGTGATAATAATACGGGTGGTGCTGGTGTGATGGTTAGGGTTGCATCGTATGATGAGGATGCTGCTGATGATGATGACGAAGCCTATGGTGCTGCTGTTGCTGCTGATGGTGATGATGGTGCTGACGATGCTGATGTTGCTGCTGACGAGGATGCTGAACATGTTGTTATTAGTGTGGTGATGATGATGCTAATCGTGATGATGCTGATGGTGACGATGATGCTGATGGTGATGATGCTTCTGATGATAATGCTGATGATGGTGATGAATGATGATGACGCTGATACGGATGCTGATGGTGACGGTGATGTTGATGATGACGACGCTCCTGATGATGTTGATGATGATGATGATGGTGATGATGATACGGATGATGAGGAGGAGGACGATGAGCAGAAGTAGAGCGATGGCGATGGTGAGGACGAGGAGAAGGAGGAGGGCTAGGTTGGGGAGGATGCCGACGAGGAATTGGATGATGAATAGAAGGAGGAGGAGGAGGAGGAGGAGGAGGAGGAGGAGGAGGAGGGGGAGGCGGAGGACGACGAGGATCAGGAGGAGGACCGCGAGGACGAGGAGGAGGAAGAGGAAGAGGAGGAGGAGGAGGAGGCAGAGAGGCGGAAGCCGAGGAGGAGAAGGAGGAGAAGGTCGACGAGGCGGATGTGGACGCGGAGGAGGAAGAGGTGAGCGAGGAGGTGGAATAGGTCGTTGAGCAGATGGGTGATGATGACGATGACGATGATGCTATTGATGATGCTTCGTATGCTGCTGATGATGTTGTTGCTGATGCTGATGCTGTTGACCATGACGATGATGCTGACGATGATGGTGCTGATGATGACGATGATGCCGACGATCTTGATGATCCTGCTGCTGACGCTGATGATGATGATGATGGTTTTGATGATGATGGTTTTGATGATGGTGGTGATGGTGACGCTGTTGGGGGCAATGGTCATGTAACTGGTACCGATGATGATGCTGATGATGATGATGCTGCTGATGATGATGATGACGAAGAATATGAGGATGGCGATGATGCGGCCGATGCTGATGATGATGACGATGATGATGTTGTTCACGCTGCTGATGATGATGATGGTGATGGTGATGCTGATGCTGATGATGGCGACGTTGATTAATCTGGTGATGGCCATGATGATGGTGATGTTGGTGATGCGGCTGATGATGACGATGATGATGCTGATGCTGAGGATGATGATGGTGATGCTGACACTGATGATGATGGCGACGGTGACGGTGACGGTAGTGATGCTGCTGATGCTGATTTTGGCGATGATGGTGATGCTGATGATGCTTAAGATGATGGTGACGATGGTGATGATGATGGTGATGATCATGCTGATGATGCTGGTGTTGATGCTGATGTTGATGCTGATGCTGATGATGATGATGATGATGGTGGTGGTGATGGCGTTGGTGATGGTAGTGCTAATGGTGATGATGATGACGATGATAGTTATTGGCGATGATGATGATGGTAATGGTGGTAGTGATGGTGATGAGGCTAAGAATGATGACGGGGGCGGTGACGATTATGATGATGATGATGATGTAGATGATGATGATGCTGATGATGCTGATGGTGATGATGGTGATGATGATGATGTTGGTGATGCTGATGATGATAATGCTGGCGATGATGATGACGATGATGATGGTGATGACGGTGATGATGATGATGATGATGATGATGATGATGATGATGATGATGATGATGATGATGAGTGTGATGGTGATGACGATGAAGACGGTGATGATGATGGTGATGGCGATTGTGGGGATGCTGGGATTTATGGTGATGATGAGGAGGAGGAGGGCGAGGAGGAGAATGAGGAGGACGATGACGAGGATGAGGGCGAGGAGGAGGACATGAACGAGGACGAGGACAAGGGCGGAGGAGGAGGATGAAGCCATCAGGGCGAGGACGAGGAGGGGGAGGAGGAGGAGCAGGATGAGAAGGAGACATGGCTACGAGGACCGACGATGGGCGTCGGCGGTAGCGCCCCCGTCCCCAGGAGGCGGACTTCGGGGGGCTGCAGGGCCTGCAGCGGGCCAGGGCAAACCTCGCCGATGCCCTGGAGGCGTGTCGTCGCCGCTGCCGCCGTCGCCGGTGGAGGAGGAGGAGGAGGGTGAGGGGAGGATGAGGGGTGGAAGGGAGGACGAGCGGGAGGCCTGAGGGAATGGACTGAATGGGGAGGAGGGCGGGTAGGAATTAGGGGAAGAGGTTGGCCGAGGGGAGGGGGGAGGATGAGGCGGAGGAGGAGGAGGAGGATTTGTGCACATCATTGCACATCCAAGACTCATCCACGATATTGCAATCAACCGTTCCTCCAAGTTCCCTCCCCGTTGGCCCCAACAATGTCAGGAAGTGCCCCGCTGGAAGACAACTGTTTGAACATCCTGAACTGTGCCGGGGCACCATTCTTGGGGATTCAACGCCTCGAATCATCCTTACTGTTGCGTCTCGGCGATCCTGATATCGTGCCAGAACACCATTCCTGGGACTTCAACATCACGAACCCACGTATCTTTTGCGCCCGGATGGTCCGACATCGAGCCAACGCAGCAATTTAAAGGCGTTAACCATCAGAATCTTTGAACGTGTTGTAAACTCTGAAAACCAATGTGCGCGGCGCCAAGGCGGTAGCCACATGTTGAAGAGGAGCCACCCGCCATCCGTGAAGCTGTTGAACTTTCTAAGACGACTGTGCGCGGCGCTCAGGCGAGAGTCACCTTTTAAACACCAAACGCCCTCCATCCGTGCAATTCTTGCGATCTTGCAAGACGAATGTGCCACGTTTCGAACACCACCCGCCCTCCACCCGCGAAGTGGTCGAACATTCCAAGGCTTGGGGCCATCCTTGGTGGGGAAGTCTCAGGCGAAACGCCTGGCGCGCCCTTTCAACACGCCTCGGGGCGCGACAGGGAGGAGTTACTTGCAAGGAAGAGGAATTGAGGTGACGGGAGGGGAGGGGCGGGGAGGGGAGGGGAGGGGAACGGAGGAATGGGATGACGGGGGAGGAGGGCAGGAGGGAGGAGGAACAGGAGGAGGAGCAGGTGGGGAAGGATGGAGATGAGCGGCATGTGCGGGATGATGATGATGATGATGATGATGATGATGATGATGATGCTGATGATGATGATGATGTTGATGATGATGTTGATGTTGTTGTTGTTGATGATGATGATGAGGATGAATCGGCTGATGACGATGATGGATCTGATGGTGACAATGATGATGCTGATACTGATGCTGATGCTGCTGCTGCTGATGATGATGAGGAGGATGTCGATGATGATGATGATGATGATGATGATGATGGTGATGATGATGATGATGATGAGGATGAGGATGAGGATGAGGATGAAGATTGTGGTGGTGGTGGTGGTGTGTAAGACGATGAGGTATGATGAGGTGAGGGTACGGATCCCGATATAGTCTGAGAACTATAAGGATAGTGCTGATGATTATGATGCTGCTGATGATGATGACGATGATGATGAAGATGATACTGATGATGATGATGATGATGATGATGATGATGATGATGATGATGATGATGATGATGATGATGATGATGATGATGATGATGATGATGATGATGATGATGATGATGCGAGGAGAAAGAGGAGGAGGAGGAGGAGGAGGAGGAGGAGGAGGAGGAGGGAGAAGAGGAGGAGGAGGAGGAGGAGGAGGAGGAGTGCGGAGGAGGAGGAAGGCGGAGGAGGAGGAGGATGAGGAGGACGGAAGATCGAGTTTAGAAGAGGGTGATGATGAAGAGGATGAGCAGGAGGACGAAGGGGAGGGGTTTGGAGCGAGGGGGAACGGGTGCAGGAGGAGGCCGCAACGATGATCAGGAGGAGCAGTAGGATCCGGAGGAATCAGTGGAGCGGGTGGAGCAGGACGTGGGGAAAAATGGGGTGGAGGCGGAGGAGGACGGAGAGAAAACACAGATGAGGAAGAACATTAACTACCTCAGATGAACTATGACTGCTGTTGTCCGCTAATTTGTTGTACTCGGGAGGCTCTCGCGTGGGTTTTGTTGCATCCAATTTGGCCCCTCCTCTGAGGCCCTCTTGGAACCATGTGTGAGCCGAGAGGCCCAGGAGACGCAAACTGTTCAAGCGCGTGAGGACCCCTTATCAGCTTGTCGAGTGAGCTGGGCCCTCCTGGATGGCTTTCCCCCTCTCTGTGCTGGAAGCCTCCTGGGGCCACTTGGGTGCCTCCCGGGGTCTGGCTCAGGGGCCGCCGGGCGCTGCTCGCTGCAGTGTTGGGGCGTGGCTGCGGCCGTGGAGGCCCTGCCTGGACCGCAGCGGACGCCCTGGGGGGCCCCAGGGCAGCGCTGGGCCGTCCAGGGAGGCCTCGGGAGGGGGGGGGGGGGCGGTGCATGCGCGCGGGCGTGGCGAGAAGGGCAGGGACTTCGAAGCGTCACAGAGGCATGTGGACAGCACTTGGCATTCTGCCACCCCTCCACGCGAGCTGTTCCCGAGAGGGATAGAGACAGAGAGATATCTACATACATACATATATATATATACATACATAGAGAGAGTGAGTGTGAGAGAGAGAAAGGGAGAGAGAGAGAGAGAGAGAGAGAGAGAAAGAAAGAGACAGCGAGAGAGAGGGAGACAGGAAGAAGGAGAGGGAGAAAGAGAGAGGGAAAGGGAGAGAAAGAGAGAGAGAGAGAGAGATGGAGAGGAAGAGAGAGAGAGAGAGGGAGAGAGGGAGAGAGGGCGAGGGAGAGCGAGCTTGCGCTGTCCCAGGAGGCGAAGGAGGCCGGCGTGACCACCGAAGAGCTCCTGGAGGCCGCGCGGGTCGCCTCTCTGACGCTCAGGAGGTCGCGGTTCTGGCCGGCGGCCTGTCGCCGCCGGCCCGTGGGCACTAGTCGCGCTCTGGCCAGACAGCGCGATGCCATCTCCGCGTGCGCGGCCGTCGACCGTCGTCGGGCACGAGGAGGAAAAGAAGGAGGAGGAGGAGGAGGAAGACGAGGAGGAGGAGGAAATGGAGGAGGAGGAGGAGGAGGAGGAGGAGGAGGACGCACGCGAGCGCCGCGGACGCACTCGCCCTCTACTGGGTGACGCCGCTCAGCAAGCCAGGCGGCGGGGTGCGCCCCGCCGCCGCGCTTAACATCCTCCGCCGCTTGGCGGGGAGGGCGCTAGTGACGCCGCGGAAAGAGGAGTTCGTGGCCGCGCTCGACCGCCACCAGTTCGCCATTGGCACCAAAGTGGGCACAGATGCTGGCGCACATTGTTTGGGTACTGACGGAGACGAACCCAAACCTGGTTTTGAAGGCGCTGGACGAGAAGAGCGCCTACGGTACCGCGCGACGCGATGCTTGCCTCGGCGAGCTGGAGGAGGCGGCGCCGGAGCTCCTCCCCTTCGCGGACCTCTTCTGCCGGCGCCGCTCCCAATGCCATTTCTAGGACACGGGCGGAGGCTGCCACTGCCCGGCGGACGGCGTAGACCATGGGGACCCGCTGGCGCTCCTCCTCTTCGCCTGCGACCTCCGCTCCCCCCTGCGGGCCCTCGAAGACGCACTGAAGGCAAGGGCGGCCGCTCTCGACCAGCGGGCCGACGCGGTCCGCGTGCTGGCCTACCTACCTGGATGACATCGTCGTCCTCGTGCCGCCCGCGCTGGCAAGCGAGGTCGAGGCGACCGCGGAGGCAACTCTGGGGCCCATGGGGCTCGAAGTGCAGCGGCGGAAGACACAGGCCTGGCATCTCCGCTCGCCCTGCCCCCCTGGGCTGGCTGGCGCGCCGACGGCGCCGCGCTACTGGGCGCCCCGCTCGGGGAGGCGCTACCTCCGGGCAACTTCCCGGACAGGAGCGACGGGAGCTCGTTGGACTTGGGCAGCAACGCCTGCGCCGCGGCGCGCTGCGCCCGAGGCCGCCGAGACAGCGGCGGCGCTGCTGTAGAAGCTCGCCCAGATCCCCGCGCTGACTTCGCTGCGCCTCCCGGTGGCCCAGGCGGCTGGTCTCCTCCTCCGGCACTGCGGCACGGGCAAGCTCACCCACTTGCTCCGCGCTGCCCCGCAAGCCTGCTCTCGGGGCGCGGCCGCGGCCTTCGACGACGTTTTCCTCGAGGCTTACTGGGGGCTGACGCGGCTGGGCCCGCTGGCGCCCGAGCAGCGGGCGTCGCCGCCTGCCGTTCAAGCTGAGCGGCCGAGGCTTCCGCGGCCAGGAGGGAGCTCGCGTTTGCTGTCTGGGCCGTGCGCGCGGGGCTGGCGGAGCTGGCTGACTTTGAGACCTCCAGTTTGGACGGCAGCTTGCCTTTCGCTGCAGCTTGCTAGGAGGCACTTACAGGGCTGCCGCCGGGCCTAGCGGACAGAACCAGGCTGCCGCCGGCCCTGGAGGAGGGGCCGCCGCTCTCTTGGCGGCAGCTCGCCCAATAATCACACGACAAAATCGAAGAGGAGACTCACGCGCAGGCTTGATTCAAACAACTTCACACCCTTGCTGAGCTCCCTGGGCGCCGAGGGACGGCGCAGCGCCGCTCCTGCGGGGGGGCGCGCGCAGGGGCCTGCCAGTTGGCGAACGGCGGGCCGGGCCAGCGGCTGGAGGGTACTAGCGCGCCACCGCCTCAGGCGCTGCTGGGCCATGACTGCGCGCCCGCCAGCAGCCACTACTGCCACCGCCTGCGCGCTGGCGAGAGGGCGGGGCAGGCTTGCGGCCAGCCGCTCTGCCGCATGGCGCGGCGCGCCTTCCGCTGCGCTCGCGGGGGCGCCGCCGAGGCGCGCGGCCGGGATGTCGAGGGCGCGTGGGGCCGCGTCTTCCGGGAGTGCAGTTTCCGCGCGGCCCGACAAGTCCCGGTCCCCGCTGCGGATCGGCGGCGCTGGCGCTGCAAGGCAGCCGGATGCGCCGCGCGCGGCTCCGCGGAAGCCCCGCCTGGCGGCCACCCTCGCAGCGCCTGCGGCGCGCCGCTCGAGGCCGAGCGCGAGGAGGCGCCGTTCGACTTGGAGGCGCAGCGCGGCGACTGCCCCCAGATGCTGCCGGACGTGACTGCCCGCTGCTGCGCCCCAGGGGGCGCGCGAGCGGCGGCCGCCGCCGCGGACGGCGACGGCGCGGCGGCCGCCGAGGGAGAGGCGGACAAGCGCCGCCGCTACTTACCTTGAGCGCTGGGCGCCCTGGCTGGTCGCGCCGCTGGCCCACGAGACGGCTGGCCGGCTGGGCAGGGCGGCGTTGCGCCACCTGCGCGGGGCCGCGCGCGGGGCCTGGGCGACGGCCCCGAGCCCGAGGCGGCCGCGAGCGCGCTGACGCGCCGCTGGGGCACGGAGCTGAGCTGCGCGCTGCGTCCCGCCACAGCGCAGCAGCTCCGCAGCGCGCTCGGCCAAGAGCGCGAGCTGGCGGCCCGCGCCGCGCTGGCGGCCGAACTGGCCGGCTAGGCAGTTCTTCGCGGTGCTGTTCGGCGTCAGGGAGAGAGCGGGCGCGCGAGACAGACCGCGCCAGCTCTCTCTCTCTCTCTCTCTCTCTCCCTTTTTTTTTTCTCTCTCTCTCTCTCTCTCTCTTTCTCTCTTTCTCTTTCTCTTTCTCTTTCTCTTTTTTTTTTTTCTCTCTCTCTCTCTCTCTCTCTCTCTCTCTCGGAGGAGGAGGAGGAGAAGGAGGAGGAGTGACTCCAGATCCGCCGCGCCATGGCTGATTTTTCGATTCTTACGCAGAAAAAGTAACCCGAACGATGCGAGAAAAAACAGGGCGAACAGTTCCGCACAAGAAACAGAGGGCAGCCATTTCAGTAATAGTATGGCGGAAGCAGCGGCTGCAAGGTGCGACAGAAGTCGACATCAAAGAGCTTGCACAGTGTAATGGATATTTCCGCCCTTCTGGCGAAATCGCCCATATTCGGGCGGATCTAAAGTCAGGGAATGGGGAAGAGGGAGAGGGGCCCGAAGGATCCAACGCCTTTATCTCCCAGATCTCGACAAACTGCCAGTCGAGCGTCGAAGCGGGGGGTGGGGGTCGAACAAGCATATATTCTTCGGTTCTGTGATATTTCAAAGTTCGAGTTCGGGGCCCCAATTCGAACTATTTGCTCAGAGCGCTATGCCCCCTCCCCCCCTGGATTTTCGAGAGGCTTGGGCAGGCGTGCTCCAACCTGGGGTGGGGGTCTTGGGAGTTTCTGGCCAGATTTGGGCTGACCCAGGAGCGGGTCGAAAAGCACGCGAGCGGTAATTACCTAGCGCTCAAGGATCCCTCGCACCGAAAGGCAAACCGAGCAGACAGCGTTGCGGAGACTCGGGTTCCTGTGGGCTTCGTCGGCAGACAGTTGTGAGTCTCGCAGTTCGGCCCTGCTCATGGCGATTCGGCGCTGGGAGGCCTGGCGCGGAGTTCCTGGCGCTCATACGGTTGAGGGAAAAATGAGCCATATTCTAGACGCTTCGCGTATCCCCACCAGCCCATCCAGAAACGACGTCCAGGCGAGTTGAGGTGATCAGGGAAGTGCGGCAGCAAAGAGGAGGACGGCCGAACCGTGCAAAGGAGTGAGGAGGAGAAGGAGGAGGTGGATGGATGGATGGATGAGGGAGTGGGAAGAAGGAGGATGAATAGGATGAGGAGGAGGCGGAGGAGGAGGAGGAGGAGGAGGAGGAAGAGAAGGAGTAGGAGCAGGAAGGAGGAACAGGAGGAGGAGGAGGGCAAGCACAAGGGCCAGAGGTCTCTTGGATGCCTCTCGGAGCCTCTTAGGGTATCTCTTGGGCGATTCTTGGTGGCCTCTTGGGACGTCTTGGGGGTGTCTTGGCGATCCTGGGGGGCTCTTCGGGGTCTTGGGTGCGTCGGGGGGGGGCCTCCTGGGGTCGCTTAGGATCTTTTTGGGGGCCTCTTGGGGGCCATCTTGGGGCCATCTTGGGACCTCTTGGGGCCTCCTGGGCGCTTCTTGGGCCATCTTGGAGGAGATCGGTCAACGAAGGGGGGTCCCTCAATTAAGGTCCGCCCCCCAGGAGGCCAAAATGGGGGCAACACCCTAGTAAATCAATCATTGTGGCTTCCTCGCCGAGGCCGTTTTGGACGCTCTAACTACCCGCGGCGCCCCCCGTCCAGGTCCAGGGGAGGGGGTAGGGGGAGGGGTAAACCCCTCCCCGAGGGAGAAGAGGGAGGGGTGGAAGAGGAAACGCCCTAAACCACCGACGCCCAGAGGGCTGGTGGGATCCCCCCCCTTCCCCGCAATTCGAAGTTGGCACATTTATGCACTGGCGTCCGGACATTCAGAGTCGGAAGATCCGAAGCCAACATTGCGTTCGGGGGGGGGGGGGCGAAGTCATATGTTACGCGCGAGTGTTCTTCATGTTTCCCACACTTGTCGGATTTTGATCCCATATGTTGCCACGTCTGTCCTGGCCGCATGCACGTAAGTATAGGTATGTGTTACCTGGTGCCTCGGCGATCTTCGGCGCGGCGGCGGCGCCAGCGCGGGCGTTCACGTTTGGTCGCCTCTGGGATTCGTTTCGGGCCTTGGGCACACGTTAAAAACAACGCGTGCTGCGAGAGGTGGCGATAGCCTCTGGCTCCGAGACTGGAGGCCGTTCCGGGTGGAACGGCTCACGCCGTGTCAGAAACCAGGGCCCGCGTCGTCAAGGACTTAAGCCTGTCTAGAGAGTTCGAACAAACTACATCGAAATTGACTTGCGGTTGTCCGCGCGGATTTGTCGAATCGGCGCCTGGCGCGCTCCGCGCGCCAGGAAGGGGGGAGAGCATGCTGCTACGCATGAAACTACGGGGGACCATGCTGCTGCGCATGATATGTATGCCACATGGCACTGGATCCGTGAGTGGGTCAATCCACAATGTCAATGATGAGGCGATGGCGCCTCTGTTGATTCTTGCGCCGATCCAAGGAGTCCGCCCGGACAGTCGAAAGTCTGTGATACCGTTGTTCTTCTCCTGCTGTCGTGCAGTCAACCCGCATAGTAAGGATGAGCAGCTCTCCGAGGCTACCCTTGCATCCTTGCCCCTTCGGCCCATCCTTTGGCCGCTCTCGCTGGCCGCGCCCCGCTCGCAGAGCGTCGACGTGGCCCTCCACGGCCCTTGCATCCTTCTCGTGCGTCCTTATGATAGGGGTTGACTGCACCCCCGCCTCAGGCCCGAAGGGCTGTACGTCCCGCCCCGCCCCACCGCCTCTTGCCCTCCGCCTCCGTCGACATCCCCGCCCTTATCCCCGCCCCTCCTGCGGCGCTTGGCAGAAGCGGCGTCTTCCCCTCCCGCCGGGTGACCCCTTCTGGAAGCGCCGATCGAAGAACAAAAAATGCATACGCCTGGTTTCTCGGACGTCCGCGTGGATTTATTGAATCGATGCTGGCCCCCCTAGCGGCGCCTCCGGCGCCGCCCCTGGCGCGCGCCGCGCGCCAGTGAGAGGGGGTCCAGCGCCGGTCCAAGAAATCCGCGCGGACCTCCGAGACATGATGCTCGTGCCTTTTTTTTGTCCCTCCAGTTGAGACTCCTGCCCGGATCAGGGGGCGCACCTGGGGCAGGAGTGCCGTCTCGTCTGAGGCGTGCCCCGTGGTGCCCGAGGCCGCTTGCGCACTCCTCGTGGCGCAGCTCCTCCACGCCTGAGGCCCCCTCTCGATGTCCGCCTCTGCGGCCGCCCTCGTCTTCCCCTGGTTCTCTTGGTGCGCTCGTACACGCAAGTCCTTGAAAGTAGGTATTTTATCACTAGCGCGACTCCAACAGGGAGCAACTTAGAGGTCTTCTGGCCGCGCCGTCGTCGGTTCACTTTCGGCCGAGGGGGCGAGCGGGTTGGGCGGCCGCGCCGTCGTCAGAATTCCCAACCCCTCCTCCTTTTCAGGTCTTCTTGGTGTTCCTCTGGTGGCGGTCGTCAGTTTTGTGTGACCCTCTCTTAGTGGTGAGGGAGGGTTTCGCGTCAGTTTTGCGATCCCCCCCTTCATTTTTTCCTAGTGAGTCCACGTCGTCGGTTCTGACGGTTCTTGGGTTTGATATGGATGACTCCCCCGTGATGGTATTTTTGGATCCCCAGGTCCCAGTCTACTTTAACCGCCTCCCTACTTTACGAGTCGATCTGCTTATGCTGTGTTTCTGTTTTTCTCTGGGGGGCGCCCGAGCCCAATCTACTTCATCCGCCTTCCTACTTCATTCAGGAGGGGAAAAAACACACAGACACAATTAATCGTCGATTCCCAGAAAAAATGAGGAAATATGGGAAGTGGGGGACGACAAAAACAAAGAAAATATGGGAAAATATGGGGAATGGTTTTATTTGTGTGTATTTATTTGTGTGTCCTGGGGCCCCTTCATTCATGTTTTTACTTACCTCTTCCGACCGACGGTCCTGGCGTGGCCTGGCGGCTGCTCGAGCGCGTTCTGCGCTCGCCCTTTGCCGCCGAAGGAGCTGCGTGCCCCCCCTGGCAGTCGAGCTCCGAGAGCTGCTCCTGCTGGCGCGGGCCGTGCCCTCCTGATCCCGCTGTTCGTAAGTCGGGCCTGTCCCTCGACAGGGGGAATCTTCAAAAATAGGAAACAATAGTCTGGGGCCGATTTGTTTTGACTATGTTTGCCCATTGGGGGGTATTTTTGTTTGCATAGTTTTTGATTTTTCGCCCAGGATCCCCCTGTAGGGGGACACGCCCGACTTGACGCTATTCTTGGTTCCGCCCGTCTGGGCTGGAGGCCAGCAAGACCAAGACCTTCGACGCGGACGACCAGGATGCCATTGGTGCTGCTGCACGGCGCGCAAGGAAAATACGCCAGCTGAAGAAGGAGGCGGGACCTCCCCAGCTCGCTGGCGCACGGCGCGAGTGTGCTGAGTGTGCTTTTTCCGAGCTCGGCAAGCATCAAGTGACAACAAGTGAAGTGCGAGTTTCCCTTTGGAGCCAGAGTCTGGTGAATCACGCCTTCCGAAGAATAATAATAATAATAACAATAATAATAATAATAATACTAATAATAATAAATATAACAGTAAGAAGACGAAGAACAACGTACACACACAAACTCTCGGAGGTCCGCGCGGATCTCTCGGATTGGCGCTTGTCGCGCGCCGGGGGCGGCGCCAGCGGCGTCGCCAGGGGGGCCCGGCGCCGACCCACGCAGTCCGCGCGGACCTCTGAGAGCGTCTGGTGATGCCTTGTTTTGATCCTCAATCAAGCTGTGCGCGGCCCGCTCAGCTTCGACCTGAAGAGGTGCGCTCTCGACCCGCGAATCAGAAAAGGTTCTGATCCTCGAGCCATACGCCGCCGACCCATAGGCTCCAGATCTCCTGGAAACTCTCCACACGAAGGAGAGCAGCTCCACATCTCGAGGAGTACAGAACGCACTTGCGAATTTGAGGTCTACCCTCCATTCTAAAGATTTTGGGGCCTCGGGGAAGATGGCGCGGGAGGCCGAGATTTCCCCGAGGACGGCCGCCGCCCATCGGCTCCGAAGGCTCAGACACTATGTCAACGCTCCCCCCCCACCGCAGACAGTGCTTTGCTCGCCATCTGATCACACGAGCTGGAACAAGTGGCTTTCCACTCCCCACTGCCACTACATTTTGATAGACTGACCTGTCTGTTTTACCGCCGCCAGCTTGCTAGGGATCTGATGTCGCGTTGGGATCATGCGTTCCACGGTCCATTCCGTATGTCATGCTCGCTGTTCTTCTTGCCAGTGCCATGCATCTAGTTGACTTGCGCCATAATCCTCGCTTTAGCTTTAGCGCACGCGTCAGCTGTAGTTCCTCTCGTTCACGATAATTATAGATTCAGTTTAGCTGCGTACATACATACATCCGGCCTGCGGCCATTGTCATTTTTGACGTAGCTTCA